TGAAAAATGTGTGTTGCGCATGGAAATAGAAAATTCAGAAATGTTAGAGACAATCTTAGTTGATTGAAAACATAATCTGAAAGAGCCCATTTGTATTATGTCAATACCGCAATGCTCATGTTGTGATCTAGTAGATCTTGCCAGCTGATAAAGGTCATGACATGTAGTTTGATTGTTTTCGGTTTAGTTTAACTGGTTCTCTTTGCTATGAACAAAATTTCATAAACTTTGTCATGTGACTAGTACAAGATATGTACATTTTGCCATGGCAAACTAAAACCATATGTTTTGCCATTATGACAACTTTATGTAATGTCTTGGTCGTATATATTCGAAGAATGTTGCCGTGTTTACTTAAGTTGTTTTTGCATTGACCATGGCGAATTGGTTCTATTTGAACATGGCAAATTCATAGATATCACATGGCAATATTTCTATCGCAATGACCATGGCAAATTCAGAGATATCACATGGCAATTTATCCATCGCATTGACCATGGCAAATTTTTACATGGCATTTTATGTTTTGCATTGACCATGGCAATTTTATTGCATTGGCCATGGAAAATTCATAAAAGATCACATGGCAATTTTATTGCATTGACCGTGGCAAATTCATAAAAGATCACATGGCAATTTTATATCATTTACCATGGCAAATTCATAAAAGATCATATTGTAATTTTATTCCATTGACCATGGCAATTTTTTTATGGACCATTGCAATTTTATTGCATTGACCATGGAAAATTTATTTTTATTGGCCGTGACAATGTCATAAAAGATCACATGGCAAATTTATTGTATTGACCATGGCAAATTTATTCTTTTTTTCAACCACGGACAAAGTTTTTTCTCTGTCCATGGCAATTTACCTTTTTAAGTGCCATGGCATTTTTAATATGTATACGATGGCAATTTTGTTAGTTTCACCATGGCAAATTAATTAATTGGACCATTGTAGCTTTTTAGGAGCATGTCAATTTAATTATATTAGACCATGGCAAATTTATTATCTCTACCATGGTAATTTTGTTAGTTAGACCATGGCAAATTAATTAATTGGACCATTGTAGTTTGTAGTTAGCATCGCAATTTAATTATTTTTTAGACCATGGAAATTTAATTTCTATACCATGGCAATTTTCATAGTTAGACCATGGCAAATTTCTTTGTCTTAAAAACATTTATTCGTACTGTTTGATCCATGTTTATTTTTATTCATTTTTTGATGGCATTTTTATACATATCATTTTTTTAAATACTTTCTCCATACACTACCAAATTTGTTGACATGGCAATTTTTGTTCTCACATCATGGCAAATCTACTTCACACATCATGGCCATGCCTGCTTGCACCAAAGTTTTTTCTCTTTTTTGGCCATCATGTTTATTAGCCACAGGCAAAACTTCAATTTTTTTAGTCCATGGATGGTATGTATGTATAGCGACCACGACCAGTTTATTAAATTTTTTTTGAGACAACCTCGCATGCTTTATTCATCATCCATAATGTTTACAGGAAGGAAATCAAGGTCTCCTGGCTGTCCTAACCACACATGACGGCCAACACCTAAAGACAAAGCATATCTAGCGAGATTGCGAGCCTCGAAATTCAAGCTCCTAAACTCATGAACTACTTTACATGAAATAAAAGAGTTTGCACGAAGTATTATCTCATGCACAATAGCTCCATATCCAGCCGCCGAGTTCTTTTGGACATCTTCAACCACCCTCTTGCAGTCTGATGCAATTTGAATTGAATTCTCATATAGATCCTCAGCCAGAG